CCCCAAAACCCCAAAACCCCAAAACCCCAAGGGGCTACATAATTCCAAAAATAAACTTTCTAAAATAGGAGAATTTAATAATAAAACTGGTAACATAAGTTTTAAATATTCTCAGATAAATTTAATTTTAAGTTTAGAAATGGACAAATCACCTATAAATCTCACAAGTGTCCCCTAGTCCGGAGGTCTTGATGTTCCTAAATTACCAGATACTAGAACAGGCATTAAACTTAAATAGAAGCTACTATAAGATGAATCTGTCATCAATGTTAAAAACATTAGGAAACTCGGTTAGCTTAATATGGAAGAAAAATCTTTAGTTTTAGCCTCATATGAATTGTTCAATTCAATAGACATTTAGGCAGGAATAAGCTAGACTAGAGCTCTATACTCTATTTTTAACATAATCGATAACATTCTAAATTATCCATACTCAGATGAGCAAAGAATTTTAAACATTATGAATTTCAGCTCAAGTATTTTGAAGCAATAAAATACAGTAAAGTTCCTTTAAACACTTGGCTTTGAACCATCTATTTCACCAGAGATATTAGTCCTTCCTTATGATAAGCCAATTAAAAGGTTGATGGTTGCTAGAGAAGCTCTTGTTTCTAAATTATCTAGTAAAATCGAAACAGTTTAGCTAGCTGATGTTGAAGGGAAGCTTGGCTTCCCTACATTTCAAAGATTTTCAGAACTGTTTGGTGTAGATTTATCTGAGAAGACTGCGAAAAGTGAAAGAGAATCAATAATGCTAACTCAATAGGAAGTTATGACTCTTATACAAGAAACTGAATGTAGATCCATTGAAGAATACATTGTTGAATTAGGAGAAAATGCCAATGAATTCTAGTTGGTGTTTATGGACTCACTTGGAAAGAGTAATAAAGCTAAGGATATTTTAATGGTGCTAAGAGAGCTTTGGCTTGAAGTTAATGTTCTTCATAAAACTGCTGTTTTTCTTAGGTAATGCTTTGCTGATCCAGTTTCAAGAGCCCCATTGACAGATGCTAAAGATAAGAACTCAAAGTTCGCTAGAAATATTTTAATGATTGATATAATGGACGCTCAAGGGATAAGAAAAGGAACTAAAGGTAGAGCTAATACAATAGAGTAACTAGTACTTCTATATTGCGAAAGAGAGACTTATAAGATTTAGAATTTTCCTGATTAAGTTCAGAAAATTGACAATCAAATTAGAAAAGGTATAGGAGGTGAAAGTAGTATTTCTACAGATAAACTTTGGGATGTCGTAAAAACCATAATAATTGAGCGATTAACAAGAAAGCCTAAATTAAAAAGACCGTCTGTGGCATAGCCAAAATTATTAGAATGGGTTGAATGCATGGACCCTGAAATAGAACTTGCAGATCTGCATGATTACAGCAAAGAAAGGATTGAAGATCTTGATGAACTCGTATCCTTGATCACTAAAAGAAATCTAGAAAGATAGAGGATGTTTGGAGATTTTTCAAGTAAGGTACCGAATTCTGAGCTCGATCCATACAATACTGGTAATATGGGGAAATTAGAGTTTCCGACTAATTCAAGTAAAGAAAGATAAAATGGTGGGTCCCTTGATGACAGACATCTTGATGAAAGAATCTATGAAGCTATTTGGTCACCTACAACATGGCTTCATCAAAAGTAACTAATTGATGACTTCGTAATATTTACTGTGATGAGTGAGATATGCAATGAATCAGAAACTGAATTTATCTTTAACATTAGACAGTGTTTCAGGAATTTTATGATGGAAAATATGCCTAATTTAGAGGTAACAAGGGATGGATAAGCTTCAGAGTTCTCATCATAAAAGTAAAATAGTCAGTAAAATTAAAACTAATAAACATTGAATGTGCTATCCTAAGAACTTCAAGCTATCAATAAGAATTACGATTTAAAAACCTTATAAAGGGGATTAATATTTCAGCCAGTTTCTAATAGGAAAAAAGATCAAACTAAAAAATCAAATTTAGACTAATATTTAGATTAGGCTTGGAAACATCTTTACAGAAACTCATCACCTAATGTCTTACATGCCACTATCTTTAATAGCCACTTTGATTACATGAAATAATATGTTGAAAGAGGAGTTGATATAAATGCTAAAGATTTCAATGAATGGACTCCGCTGCATTGTGCTGCTTATATGGGAAATGTCTTATATCTGAAGCACATGCTATCAAGGCCTTATATATTTTTGCATGAGAAAAATGATGAGGGTAAAACACCTATCTAAGTTGCAATAGAGGCATCAAATGTTTTCGGCGAAGAAAATGCAGTAACTTGTTTATTAGAAAGAGGTACTGAACTAGAAGAGGATATTTGGCATAGACTTTTAATCTTAGCTTATAACTATGACATAGTATCTTATCCTAAGTTGGCTTTTAGAGCAGGGATTAATTTGAATAATTGTGGTGATGAAACTAAAGTATCTTTACATAAGGCAGTTTGCTGTTTGTCTGTAAAGATTATTAAATTTTATGGAGAAGCATTATCCTAACAAGAACTTACTAATATGATAAAATAATCAGACTTCTAGGGATTAAACGTTCAAGACTATGCTAAATTAACTGAAAATCAGGAGATTATTACATTAATTGAGAAGATGTCAAATGGAGAAGGTATATAATCTCATTTAGTAACACGAGATAATATTGAAGCTCTCAAATCAAAATCGATTAATAATGAGAGTAGATTGCAGTTTTCTGATAGAAATTCAGAGATTAATGAGAATATTACCCACTAGATTGATAAATTTGATGGAAGTGGAGATAAATACAGAAATGATGAGTGGCGTAGAAGAGATTTTGATGATGACTACATCAAGAATGTTCTTAATGAATTTAAGACAACTGTATTTTATTTTACTTTAATCTATTTAGGTTTAAGAATAGCATTTAAAAGAATTAAAAGATGCCTAATCTAGGTTGCTAGAGAAAGACACTCAGGTTGAGTCGTTATAACAAGACTTGCGCTAGTAGAGTGAAAAGATGATGAAACTTTAAGAGGAGATCAATAACTTGTTTAATGAGTAAAAAACTCATCGACATGATGAAGCTAGATACCTCAAGAAGGAACTTAGAGACATGAATAAAAATTTCAACAATCAGATTAATGCTCTTCAATCTAACATTGAGTAAGTGACTATATTTATTTAAGCATAAAATAGAAAAACCACAAACAATCTTTAAGAGATGCAGGGCTAGTAATAGAAAGCTTATGAAGACTTTAACAAGCTTTAAAAGACTCAGAAAGATCTAATGAAGAAACTTTTAAAAGATAGAAATAATTAACTAGGAAATGATCAAAGTAGTAATATGGGCAAGCTAGATAAGATGAGCACGGCTAGAATGGGTTCTTTACAAGGAAATTAGAGTGTTAATGGCAATAATAATGGGCAGGTAAATCAAGTTTCCCCAGAGAATACCCAGAAAAGTTCAAATTGCAAGATATTTTGAAGTCATTTATAAAGTTCCTCTCATTAATTTTTATAAATAAAACTTATAATCTACATAGAATGAAGGGGTTTTGGGGTTTTGGGG